CTCACTGCAACCTCTGCCTCCCAGGTTCAAGTAATTCTCCTGCCTCCGCTTACCGAATAGCTGGGATCACAGGTGCCTGCCACCATGCCCAGTTAATTTTTGTATTTTTAGTACAAACAGAGTTTCACCATGTTGGCCAGGCTGGTCTCAAACTCGACCTCAAATGATCTGCCTGCCTCAGACTCCCAAAGTGCTGGGATTATAGATGTGAGCCACCGCACTCGGCCCCCAGTAGAACTTCTTTTAAAATTGCAGTTAATCAGCCTGGCTCTATGGCTCACACCTGTAATCTCAGCCCTTTGGGAGGTTGAGGCAGGTAGATAATGAGGTCAGGAGTTCAAGACCAGCCTGGCCAACTTGGTGAAACCCTGTCACTACAAAAAATACAAAAAAATTAGCCAGGGGTGGTGGCAGGTGCCTGTAATCCCAGCTACTTGGGAGGCTGAGGTAGGAGAATCACTTGAACCCAGGAGGTGGAGGTTGCAGTGAGCTGAGATCATACCACTGCACTCCAGCCTGGGTGACAGAGCAAGACTCTGTTTCAAAAAGAAGAAAAAAAACACTGCTGCTTTGTCAACTATGTTTATGCAACATTCTAAATTTTTATTTTATCATTTCAACAATGTTCAACAACATTTCAACAGCAGTTCAAACAGTATTTTCACCAGGAGTAATTCTGTGTTGTCAAACTACTTTATTTGCTCCATAAGAAGCAATTTATCTCTTAAAGTTCAATCATGAGGCCAGGCATGGTGGCTCATGCCTATAATCCCAGCACTTTGGGAGGTCAAGTGGGCAGATCAACTGAGGCCGGGAGTTCAAGACTAGCCTGGCCAACATGGCGAAATCCCATCTGTACTAAAAATACAAAAAATTAGCTGGGCATGGTGGTGGGCACCTGTAATCCCAGCTACTCAGGAGGCTGAGGCAGGAGAGTTGCTTGAACCCAGGAGGTATGGGTTGCAGTGAACAGAGATCGGGCCACTGCACTCCAACCTGGGCAACAAGAGTGAAACTCTGTCTCAAAAAAATAAAAAAATAAAAAAGTTAAATCACGAGATTGCAGTAACTCAGTTACAAAATCAGGCTCCACTTCTAATTCTAGTTCTCTTACTATTTCCACCACATCTGCAGTGACTATCTCCACTGATGTCTTGAACCCCTCAAACATCCATGAGGGTTGAAATTAACTTCTTGCAAACTCCTGTTAATGTTTTTATTTTGACCTCCTCCATGAATCATGAATGTTTTTAATGGTATCTAGAAGAGTGAATTCTTTCCAGAAGATTTCCATTTGACTTTGCCCAGATTCTTCAGAGGAATCACTATCTGTGACAGGAATAGCTTTACAAAGAATAGTTCTTAAATAATAGGACTTGAAAGCCAAAATGACTCCTTGTTCCACAGGTTGCAGAATAAATTTGTTAGCAGGGATGAAAATAATATTTATTTCCTGGTACATCTCCATCGGACCTCTTGGATGGTCAGAGCCATTATTATTGAGCAGTAATATTTTGAAAGGAATCTTTATTCTGAGCAGTAGGTCGCAACAGTGAGCTTAAAATATTCAGTAAAATATGCTGTAAATAGATATGCTATCATCCAGGCTTTATTGTTCCCTTTACAGAGCACAGGCAGAGTAGATTAAGCATAACTGGTAAGGGCCCTAGGGTTTTGGAAATGGTAAATGAGCATTGGCTTGAACTTAAGTCACCAGCTGCATTAGCCCCTAACCATAGAGTCAACCTGTCCTTTCAAACTAGGCATTGACTTCTTCTTAACTATGAAAGTCCTGGATAGAATCTTCTTCCAATAAAAGATGGTTTTGTCTGCATTTAATATGTTTTTAAATGCAGCCATTGGCCAGGCATGGTGGCTCATGCCTGTAACCCCAGCACTTTGGGAGGCTGAGGCGGGTGGATCACCTAAGGTCAGGAGTTTAAGACCAGCCTGGCCAATGTGGTGAAACTCCATCTCTACTAAAAATACAAGATTTAGTCAGGCATTGTGATGGGCATCTGTAATCCCAGCTACCTGGGAGACTGAGGCAGGAGAATTGCTTGAACCTGGGAGGTAGAGGTTGCAGTGAGCAAAGATTCCACTACTGCACTCCAGCCTGGGTAACAGAGCAAGACTCCATCTCTAAATAAATAAATAAAATAAGCGTAGCCACCTTTATCAATGATCTTAGCTGGATCTTCTGGATAATTAGCTGCAGCTTTTCCACCAGCACTTGCTGCTTCACTTTGCACTTTTATGTTGTGGAGATAGCTTCTTTCCTCATACCTCATGAACCAACCTCTGCTGGCTTAAAACTTTTCTTTCTGCAGCTTCTTCGCCTCTCTCAGACTTTGTAGAATTGAAGAGAATTAAGGCCTTTTTTTGAGTTAGAGTTTGGTTTTAAGGAATGCTGCGGCTGCTTTGATTAATCCAAAACACTCAAACTTTCTTTACATCAGCAATAAGGCTCTTTTGCTTTCTTATCATTCATATATTCACTGGAGTAGCACTTTTAATTTTCTTCAAAAGCTTTTCCTTTGCATTCCCAGCTTGTCTGTTTCAAAAAAGAGGCCCAGCTTTAAGCCTATCTGGTTTTGACATGACTTTCTCACCAAGCTTAATCATTTCTAGCTTTAGATTGTTAAAGTGAGAGCCATGCAACTCCTTTCACTTGACACTTAGAAGCCAGTGTAGGGTTATTAATCGGCCTAATATCAATATCATTATGTCTCAGGAAATCAGGAGGCCTGAGCGGGGAGAGAGAGATGGGGCAATGGCTGGCCAGTGGAGCAGTCAGAACACATACATTTATCAAT